ACACACACTTTAGGGAGTAAAGATGTACAAGATATTACACTTTGGCTTCAAGTGTTATTAATATTTGTTTATATCTCATGCTGTCGAATATTAGTTTAACCTAGTTAAAGCTTTATTTAAATTTTTTTGGAAACGAAAAGCTTTATTTAAGTAAGTGATGTTGACATGTGATCTGTATATATGTATGTGTATGTGTACATGAGTTAATGATATAGGAGGGTAATAAAGTTTTAATGTTGTCCACATTAGGTCTCTAAGGTTTTTTTATTGTACATATTATACTAACATAACATGGTTGTTATAACTGTTTAAAAAGGGTAATAAAGTTTTAGTTTTGTCAACATTAGGTCCTTAAGGTCTTTTTTTGTATATATTAGATCAATATGGTTGTTATAACCGTTTAAAAATGGTGTAATAAGGTTTTATTTTTGTCCACACTAGGACCCTATTTATAATAATTTTATCATTTCATCTAACTTTTTATTAGTATCTAGTTTTATCATTTCATCTTCTCATTTTACTCGCCCCTCCACCACAACCACAGTTTCAATTGAATGATTACATAATAATTTTTTGTTATTTTTACAAAAAAAAAACTAATAATAATCAAAGTCTTAATGATTAAGGCTATGTTTGGCGCACTATAGCTTGCTGATAAGCTAGTTTATTTTACGATATTTTTTATGTTGTCATGTTTGGCAAACCAAAAAGTAGCTTATAAGGTAGTGTTTTAAAAAGCTACTTAGATTTGTTTTTAAAAAAAAAAATTTCCAAATATACCCCTTAACTAATTAAGAAAACATATTTTTTAAATGTCCTTTTATGTCATTATATAAATTTCAGATAACTTATAAGCAATGGCGGAGCCAGAGTCAAAGTAAAAGAGTATCCTCGAAAAGTAATAGGGTATCCTCGATAAGTAATGGCGTATCGGGGATACCCCATTGGCGGAACCACTATTTATCGGGGATACCCCATTACTTTTCAGGGAATCTCTTTTACTTTGACCTTGGCTCCGCCACTACCTTATAAGTTATCTGAAATTTATATAATGACATAAAAGGGCATTTAAAAAATATGTTTGCTTAATTAATTATGGGGTATATTTGGAAAACTTTTAAATTTTTTTTTAAAAAACTAATTTAAGTATCTTTTTAAAACACTAACTTATAAGCTACTTTTTGGTTTGCCAAACATGACAATTTAAAAAAGATCGTAAAATAAACTAGCTTATCAGCTAGCTATGACGCTTCAAACATAGCCTTAATCATTAAGACTTTGATTATTATTATTATTATTATTATTATTATTATTATTATTATTATTATTATTATTATTATTATTATTATTTTGTAAAAATGACAAAAGAAATTGTTATGTAACCTTTTAATTGAAACCATGGTTGTGGTGAATAGACGACTAAAATGAGAAGATGAAATGATGAAACCATCTAACTAAATACTAATATAAATTGTAAAAGAGTTAGACGAAATGATAAAAATATTAAAAATAGAGAGCTAATGTGGATAAAATTAAAACCTTATTACCCCCTTCTTTAAACGGTTATAACAACCATGTTGGTATAATATGTACAAAAAAGACCTTAAGGACCTAGTGTAGACAAAATTAAAACCTTATTACCCTTTTTAAACGGTTATAACAACCACGATGGTGTAATATGTACAAAAAAAACTTTAAGGACCTAATATAGACAGAGTTAAAACTTTATTACCCTCTTAGGTCATTAACCCATGTGTACATGGGTAATTGTGGTACTCGTTGATTTGGCTGACTAAGGTGCTGTTTGTTTTTTAAAAAAAAACCTCTTCAAACCACTTTTTGCTGCGCGGCGCAGCACACGCGTAACACTTTCCCTCTCGCAGCAGTTTGTTTTTTGGAAGACTTCAGACTGCAAAACCTCTGCGCGTGTGTTGCGTGGCAGCAACACTTGACTTGCCTCTTCAAACCTCTTCAGCTTTCAATTTTTTGAAGTGTTTTTTTTTAGAATTTTGGTATAACTTGTTTTTTTTTTTAACTTTTATTTACGGATTTGATACAATTTCTTATTATAGTTTCCAGAAATTTTTTTAAAAAAACTTTGATTTTTATAATTTTTTTTACCGTTTCTATTAATAATATTTTCAGTTTCAATTTAATCTTTTTTAACATGTGTAATTTTTTACGAACTTTGTAGACATCGTTTGCAATACTTTCTTAATTTTTTTATTATTTTCTTTTTTATGTTTTTTAAAATTAGTTTTTTTCTAGAATAAAGCTGTTAGCTTCTTTTATATTTTTGCAAGTTTTTTTTTTTTAAGTTTTATATTTTTGTTTTTTTACATGTTCTTTTTAATACTCTTTCAATGTTTTAAGACTAGAATTATTAAAATTTCGGTGTTGAGAACTATTTTCAGTTTATAAAATTAGTTTATTTAATTTCAGCTTACTGCAGTAGTCTGCAGATGTTTAAAAACAAACAAGCTTCTTATTATGGGTTGCAACCGTTTGTTCCACCTCTTCTGCTACAGAGGATTGCAGAGGTGGTCCGCAGACTTCATGAATTTTCGTTTCGAAAAAACAAACAACACCTAAATCTAAGGGATCTAAATCCATCATTTATTCCATCCACATACATACTCGAATAGGACAAAACTTTCACTTGTAAATTAAGAAACTGAGTTTCTAACAAAAGGATCGACATTTTCCACCGACTAAAGAAGATCTACACGATTACACATCTTGCTTCCTAAAATAAGAAAGATTCAGTGATCATTATAATTAAACCAACTTGGATGTAATGCTACCCTAAAACTTGATAGTCTCTAGTTGTTCAAGCTATGCAGTCAAGCTTCTTATCTAGCTAGCCTATACCCAAAAGCTAAGGATCCAGAATTTGGGGGGCTTAAAAAAATACCTTTAAAGACACAATCTTCATGGATTAAGAAGACAAGAAGAAGTTGATAGTCAAGCAAATTGGAAAAAAGACACATGATACATACCCTTTAAGTGATCCATGTGGTTTTATTGCATAGTAGCGATGTGAAGACGACAGTTGATTAAGAACCGGAATGAAGACAATTTCATCATAAGAAACTTGTTGATATTGACCGGACCATGTTGTATAGCGTGCGGTCAATATTTTGTTCCGAGAAAAGGGCAACATTGCAAGAAACGAAGAGCTTGAGGATTGCTCTTATAGTGAGAAAGTAATCATGTCGCATACATAGTGAGACTTATTTGTAGTGTTTGAAATTGGTTGTGTTGATGTGATTTTTTATATACAATAAAGATTTGATACTTAAGTGATCAAGGATATGCTAAAATAAGTAATTTGATATATTATTTTATTGTGATTCCAATTTTGGCAAGTCAATTGTTGACTAAAAGTGTGGACATGAATACATGATCAAAGATCATCCAGTATATAACTATCTATATGGCTGTACTGTGGGCCAATAACTATATATTAATGAAAACATACATGTACTATACTACGATGGGCCAAGAATTTGCATTTGTAATCGTGGTTGGTACAGAATGGATTGCTCCAAGATTAGATTACTTCACGCAAGGGTCTCAAAATATTTTCAGAGCAAATTATAGAAATTGTCAACGTACTTATATAGAATTCATCATCAAATATTTGAAATTATATTTATTATTCTTTTTTCTATAATAGTAAACATTGCCGTCTAAACGGATTCATAAGTCATAACGAACCCTTCCACAACTCATAATATAGTGGTAAATCACGAAGTACTAACAATGTTTTATATGTATCATTGAACAATGGATCTTCTGTGTAGAATTTCTCACATCGACCGTACATGGGTCGAATACTATATGTGGGACAAATACTATAGGTTGGAGGGCATATGATAAGTTGATAACCACGAACATGACCCAAAGTAGCATGGTCGTGAAGGGGTGGGCCAAGGGTCTTAATTTGTGGCTTGGGCCTTAGGAAACATGAGCTAGAGGGGATGGGCTAGGAAGGTCTTCTAGGAACTTGTATGATGGGGCTTGGGCATGAGTCATAGACTAAAAATGAAAAACGATTAAATAGAACACGACATGACAAGCTATAATAATTTTTTAGGAGAGGGCAAGATAGTGAAAACCACTATGGTTGGTATGAAAACAAAGAAAGACACATGGAGTGGTATGTGGAGCAAGTATGTTTTCGCTACCTCTACCGACAAATTATAAAACAAGTCCATTTTATCTTCCACACGCCTTCTAATTTTGTTCATTAGTCGTTATCATACACTAAGTTTTTCCGGACATGATTACTTTCTCGCCGCCACTTCTCGCCATGGAAGTCGTCGTCAATTTGGAATTAGCCAAATTCAATCAAATCGGGTTCCTAGATCCTAAAATAGAAAAGAAAAACCACACAATGATGTTAGCTTTTCGATTGCGACGATTCATCTAATAAAATTAATCCAAGTATTTATTCATTTTTGTGATTAAACGTGTCAGCCACAAATTTGACACGATACGAATACACGAAGAGAAACTAGTGGTGTACCCGCGCAAAGTGTAACATCCATAAAAATTCACAAAATTTAAAACTTTTTCAAATACCTAAAACCACCATGTAATACAAAATTGTTTTCAAATAGTTTGAACATCAGAGTATCCCAATAATCAAAATCATAACATGTGAGGATGTGTACGGTCACGCCTTCGCCTTCCCGCGATCATCTGAAGTACCTGAAACAATAATCCATAAATGTAAGCTCGAAAGCTTAGTGAGTTACCCCCAAAATACCCGTACACAACAATACATATATAATAACAACATACTATGGGACAAATCAACCATCGGGTTGGAATGCCCCAGACCCTCAACCATCGGGTTGGAATGCCAACATACTATGAGTCCAATCATCCTCGGGATGGTATACCCCCGACCCACAACCATCGGGTTGGAATGCCCACATGTTATGAGTCCAATCATCCTCGAGATGGAATACTCTCGGCCCACAACCATCGAGTTGGAATCCTACATACTATGAGTCCAATCATCCTCGGGATGGAATACTCTCGGCCCACAAACATCGGGTTGGAATGCCCACATACTATGAGTCCAATCATCCTCGGGATGGAATACTCTCAACTACCAATCAAACATGTGCACCTATATCAGATAATCATAGAACAGTCTATAAAGACAACATATTATGGGTCCAATCATCCTTAGGATGGAATACCCTCAACTACAAATTAAACATGTGCACATATATCAGATAATCACATAACAGTCTACAGACAGTCAAGCAGATCTAGCAGATCACTAAGCATATCATCATCCTATCTACCAGGATACCGATCTAACAGATCATAGCAGCACACAATCATAAGATAATCAGGATAACAATCCAAAGGGTCGGCCTTGGTGCCTTAGACCCTTGAGTATAGTGAGGAGAACTCACCTCACAAGTAGTGCTGTAGTGACAATATCAAACTCGCAAATCACAGCTCTGAACTCAACCACATGTAACCACCATATAACTAATTCCATTAAAATCCCAATTTACCAAAATACCCTCAGAAGTCAAACTTGGTCAACCCTTGGTCAAAGTCAAAGTCAACAGCCAAGGTCAACAGTCCATGTTGACCCAACTCGTCGAGTGCAGCTACTGACTCGTCGAGTTCCTTCAAAACTCAGAAAACCGCGAAAACCTGAGTCAACTCGCCAAGTTGTCAAAACAACTCGTCGAGTCCATGCAGTGTCCACAAGATCGGGAAAAACTCTAACCAACTCGTCGAGTTATCTCACCAACTCGCCGAGTTTACTCTGAATCCAGAAAGTGGGAAAACCCGACTCAACTCGTCGAGTTGGCTAAGCAACTCGTTGAGTTCCTTCAGCCTTTACTCGTCCAGACGCTTTTAAGCGAAACCAAGGCTCCAAAATGTAGATCTAATCTTCTGAGGCTGAGATACTATGTAAAGGTGCAAGCTTTACGTCCATGCATGACATTAAGGGGGCTAACTTGCTAAAACGAGGCTTAACAAGGGGTTTAAGGTATGGAAGTTGGCCAAAGCTTGATAAAGCTTGAGTCTTTAGGCCTATGGAGGCCTAGAGGTGTCCAGATCTGAAGTCTTATGTCCAGAACATACTCAAGTCCAAGAATGATCCAAGAACAAAACTAAAATGACCCTAAACTCTCCAATGAGGAGATCTAACAAATGAGTGATCAAGGTGGCGACTTTTTACCTCCAAATGGTTGCAAAAACAGTGAAGCTTCTGGATCTAAGGCCTTCTATGCAATCCAACCTCTTCAAGCTTCTAGTTTCCTCCAAAAGGAACAGAAGTTTTACTCTCCAAAGCACACACACTCAAGAAAGTAGTAAAGCACGACTAGGGTTTCTTTCTGGACGAAAAGGTGGTAAGGGAGGCTGGTGAGGGGACTTAAGGTCCTTTAAATAGGGTGCAAACCCTAAAAATTAGGGTTTTCATGCACAACATCAACTCGTAAAGTTGGGGTCCTCCAACTCGTCGAGTAGGTTCCAAAATCCACGCGGCTATCTTAGTCTCTACATGACGAGTTGGAGCCTTCCCACTCGTCGAGTTGCCCTGAAAATGTAAATATAAAAAGCTTTAAATTCATACATGGGAATCGGGATGTTACACAAAGCGGCGACGGCGAGTTGTTTTGGACGATTATTAATTCTTTTCGGTGATTAGAATATGTAGCGATTAATAGTATAGTTCAGCGAATAGTTTCTATGAGGCAATTAGTTTTATTTCGACATGTTGTTTTGGATTAAAAGTAAATTATTTCGGCATGTTGTTTTGTATTAAAATAAAAATATGTTATGATTGACAATGGTTAAATAGTATGAGTGCTAAGTTTTTGAGAGAATAAATTGTGGAGATACCACTATTGAATCGAACATGCACATCACTCACCGCCTAATGTTTTATAT